CCTAATCAACTTTGATACTTTCCTGTATGTTTCCAACTCACTGTTTTTAAGTTCTAAAAAGCTTTCGCCCACCCTAGCCCTGCGCAAAGGCATTATCAACCAACCACATACAGACACACTGGCAAAGGATGGAAGCATGGTTCAGCACAATTTTCAAGCAATCTTTGGCTAAATACTGAACTCTGGTGAATACTAGAAAAGCCAAGCTTAAAATGTAAAAAGTAAAGGTTACTTGCACACAAGCACTTTGATATCACAAGAGTCAATCTGAAAATTGAAATGACCTCTAAGTGGCTAACAGGTAGCATATACAGCTTGTATACACTGGACAAAGGGACAATTCCTGGCCAGAGCAGGAGAGTGTGCTAGAAAGCAGGAGATTTCATCAAGATACTCAGAAGAGTGTACCATTTAAAACTTATAAACGGTTTATTTCTGAAACTTTTCTTGTAGTATTTTCAGACCAAAGTTGACCATGGTTAACGGAAACTGGGAAGTGAAACCACTGAAAAGAAGAGACTACTTTAGACTCTTAATAGAAAATAAGTAGCTCTCTCTTTAGAACATCACTGTGGATTATGAATGCATTATTCCCTACATGAAGCCCTTCCCAGAACAGAAACCAAAGTATCATTTAAGAATACAAGAGGAAAAGGAAGCTACAATAGTTAAAAGTTAAGTATTTCTACTAAGAAACTGCGAAAAACCATAAAAAGACTTAGTCTTTTTTTTTTGGGGGGGGGGGGGGGGGAGTTGTTTTTTAATTTATTTTTAGAGAGACATATATAACACATCATATACTAAAATACAAAGAAGATAGTGGAATCACATCCCAGGAACAAACATCCAACAGGCACAGGAGTGAAGAGGATGTGGAGAGCTAAGCATAACCAAGAAAGGAAGGTGGCCCTCAGAGTTGGGCGGAATACAGGATGTGCTGAGGAGTCCAATGTTCTGAAAGTTGACAAAGTTGAGATGGAAGTCAGAGTCCAGATGAAACAGATGATTGGTGAAAAGAAACCAGAGAAGTACAAGGTGAGACTCAAATACAGGATTTCTCAGGAAAAGAAAATCTGGAGTTGACCAATACAAGGAAAATAAGTCAAAGATTGCTGATGGCAGGCGTTTAGGGGCATCGTGTGCAGAACGCAGTGAATGAGAAGTGTTAAAGTGAACTGATGAAAAGAGGAGGCAATGAAATGGACATAGGGGGTGAGAAAAACAATTGACTGTATCCATGTATCAGAACATATGCTAACAAGGGGGAAATTTCTGCTATTTCTATTCACTGCTATATGCCCAATGCCTTTAACAGGGCCTGACAAAGAGTGGGCTCCTAATAATAATGTTAAGTGATTGAATTTTCTCTGAGGCCAACTTGCTCATAAGATTTGGGGCAAATGGAAGGTAAATGCTTAGAAAGCTAAATATGCACACACAGAAGAGACTGTGGCAATAGGTCAGTATAGAAGAACTGACCCATATTCAAATCTGTCGTAATTGCCCTGGCCAGTGTGGCTCAGCTGGTTGGAGCATCCATCGTCCAGTACACTAAAAGGTCTCAGGTTTGATTCCCCGTCAGGGCACATACCTAGGTTTCGGGTTCCAGCCCCAGTTGGGGCATGTACAAGAGGCAACGGATCAACATTGCTCTTTCTCTCTCTCTCTCTCTCAAATCAATAAAAACATATCCTCAGGTGAAGATTAAAAAAAGTCACAATTTTTCATCATTTCTTTTATTTTTTAATGGTTGTCCTTTTTTTAATATATATTTTTTATTGATTTAAAAGAGATAGGGGCAGGGGGAAAGAGAATCATCGATCGGCTGCTTCCTGCACGCTTCACACTGGGGAATCAGCCCACAATCATGTGCCCTGACCAGGAATCGAACCGCAATCTCCCAGCTCATAGATCAACACTCACCCCACTGAGCGATGCCAACCAGGCTCACCATCTATATCCTATATAATAAAAGGGTAATATGCAAACTGACCCCAAGAGCAGAATGACTGGGAATGATTGGTCATTATGACACACACTGACCACCAGAGGGCAGATGCTCAATGCAGGAGCTGCCCCCTGGTGGTTAGTGTGCTCCCACAGGGAGAGCTCTGCTCAGCCACAAGCCAGGCTGACGGCTGCCAGGAGAGACTCTCCTGCCTCCTCAGGAATGCTAAGGAAGGTAAATGCTTAGAAAGCTAAATATGCACACACAGAAGAGACTGTGGCAATAGGTCAGTATAAAAGAACTGACCCATATTCAAATCTGTCGTAATTGCCCTGGCCAGTGTGGCTAAGACTGCAGCTTAGGCTTGCTCCCTGCTGGCAAGTGGACATCCCCTGAGGGCTCCTGGACTGCCAGAGGGATGTCTGACTGCCAGCTTAGGCCCAATACCCCCAGGAGCGGGCCTAAGCCAGCAGGTGGACATCCCTCAAGGGGTCCCAGATGGTGAGAGGGCACATGCTGGGCTGAGGGACACCCCCCGCATGCACAAATTTTTGTGTACTGGGCCCCTAGTAATACAATAAAAGCCTAATATGCAAATCGACCAAACGGTGGAACAACCAGTTGGTGGGGGGCAGGGCTGGCGCCAGGCCAACCAAGGCGGGTGCCAATGGGCAGAGGGAGGGGACGGCAATCGTGGGGCGGCGGCAACCAGCGGCAGGGCAATGGGGGGCAGGGCCGGCCAGCGCCATTCCCCAATCGACCCACTAGTCACCTCCTGCAGAGGGAGGCCAGACTGCAGACTAAGCCATCAGTCGGATATCCCCTGAGGGCTCCTGGACTGCGAGAGGGCACAGGTCGGGAGGGCTGAGGGACCCCAAAAGTGCACGAATTTTTGTGCACAGGGCCCTCTAGTCTATATAATAAAAGCTTAAGCAACCGTTACAACAGAGCAACCGGTCGCTAGGATAAGCACTGACCACCAGGAGACAGATGCTCAATGCAGGAGCTGCCCCCTGGTGGTCAGTGCGTTCCCACAGGGGGAGCACAGCTCAGCCAGAAGCCAGGCTCACGTGACAGCACTAAGGAGCAGCAAGCCAAGCGGTAAGGAGCAGCGAGCAGGCAGGCGGTAAGGAGCAAGGGGTCCCGGACTATAAGAGGGATGTGCGCCAAGGGGTCCCAAACTGTGAGAGGACTCAGGGGGAGCTGAGGGACACCCTCCCCCTGCTCCCGCACAAATTTTGTGCACCGGACCTCTGGTTTCTTAATAAAAGTACAGAAAATGATACACTCATGGTAAAAGGGTTACTGCAAAGAAAAACTAATCAGTTGTTTATTTCACTTCAAAAATTCAAAGGTCTCATGGCCTCAAATTTATGTATCTGAGAAAAATAAAAGATTGGAAGTAGGGGGGGAAAAATAACTAAATAAGTGCATACTTTCCACAGAATTCAAAACATAACCACATTTTAAAAGTTTACTGATTTATCATACCTAGTTATATAATAGCAATGTAAAACTTTATCCAAATAAAGATTATCATTTCCTATTTTCTGATTAGATTTTTAGATTTAATATCATAGATATCTTTAAGCTTACAAAGTGCTCATGTTAAGTTTCAAAATGCAATACCAAAACATTAATGGTAGTTACATGTGCAGAACACGTAATGATTTTTATTTTTATACTAGAGGCCCGGTGCACAAAAATTTGTGCACTCGGGGGGGAGGAGGGTCCCTCAGCCCGGCCTGTGCCCTCTCACAGTCTGGGACCCCTCGGGAGATAACGACCTGCTGGCTTAGGCCTGCTCCTGG